ATAAAATAATAATTCTTACATGGTAGAGAGTCTCTTTGTACTGAGTCCTCCTATTTTAATTCAAAAATTTTAATTTTATAATTTAATACAATTCAATTATAATAAAAAACTATTTAAAAATTTTTATTTTATAATTTAAATTACAAATCCACACAGTTATTAGCTTGTTTTACTCGACAAGCATCACCTGGTTGTACTTTAGCTTACGTGGAATCAGTTTGCTTCGGTGGCAAGACCTGGTTGGTTGACGCCAACACAACTCTAAACGACGCGGTTTAGAAAGCGCCTTCGGCTTCTTCCATGTCAACACAAACAGAAATTTCACAGAATTTTGCCGAAGCAGACCGCCATGACAGCTCGGAAAAGAGCTTCAGCAATGGCGACAACAACAGCGGCCGCTGCAGGCTCGAGGCCAGCTCAAGCAGACCATAAATCCCCGGAAAGCACCTCTTCTGATCAGCCGATAGCGCCGCCAAAATGGGGAGTAATCGTGAAGCTTTCTCTTTTATTCTCAATCCCATACTTTTACCTCCTCTTCTACCATTACAACATCGAACAAGAGTTGAAGAGATCGATCCTTATCAATGCTGGACTCAGTCTTGCCGGCTTCTTTGTTACTCTCAAGATGATACCCGTGGCTTCTAGATATGTTCTGAGGCGCAGCTTGTTTGGGTACGATATCAACAAGAAGGGTACCCCTCAAGGAACTGTTAAAGTGTGAGTCCAATTTCTTTTCATCCTTTGTTTCATATAGGTTTTGATTCATTTGGGGAACTGGGTGTATGTTGGTTTTGCAATTCCATTTCGATTAATAAACTGGGTATGGGTTTCGATTCCAATTCATGAAATGTGTTCTTGTTTAGGATTCTTTTTCTCATCAAATTCGTTGACTTTTAAAGAGTCATTAGTTCTACTACGCTCATTAGTGCTAACTGTGCATTCCCTGGATTCTTAGTTGCCACCTGCATTGTTCAATCAAATAAATGTCTCAGCTTTCTTATTATCCTTTCTGTTTCTTAAATGTCAATATCATTATCACATGAATTAATAAAATTTCCCACCTGTTAAATTCTAAATTTTCATATGTATCTTTTAATTGTTACAATTATATATTAACCATCTGTTTCTTTTTCTAGCTTTGCTTTTTAAGGTTGCTAGACGCTAAAATCTCTTCTCCACCCTTCATCAAAATTCTTGAGATGCAGGGGGACTTGTTTTTATTCAAATTTTCTTTATCTTAAGTGAATCAAAGATGCGTTAGATTTTAGATTTTCACTTATGTTG